GTTCAGATCTTGCAGAATGTCAGTATTTTTGTTCGTCTTTAAAATATAACTAGTAGCATTAAAATGTTTATATTTGGTTAAAACTGCTGAAGTTTGTTAAACTGAGAAAAAAAGGAGGCATAACATAAATGACTGCACAGGGGCTTTATAAATTCCATATACGGCCCAGGCTACCACTGTAAGTTGCCAGTTAATAACGTAAGATTCCAAAATCATTATTACCAAATAAGCTTTTAAAATTTAGTTTCACATTGTTTTGAAAATTACCTTTTAAAATGTCCTGTTATCTTTTTAGTACTTGGAAGCCACACAAATAAATGACTCCCCACACATGGCTCATTCCAGCGACTGGCAAAGTCTCTTTTGTCTATGGAGTCTGCAACTTCAACTATGTTGAGATGAGTACTAGACGCCTGACCACAGGTGGGCTCACTTGTCACATTTCTTTGCCTGCTTCTGCTAGTTCTCTGATGGTATCTATGTTTGAATATATTAAAAGTTGAACATTACAGCAACTTAACACATTGTTGGCACTCTGCCAAGGTCACTTGAGTGAGACAAGTAAAGTAAAGGACCCTTTTCCATGACTTCGGGATATAAGGCTAGGCTAGACCTATATATTATAGACCAAATGGCACTTAGTGGATGATGTAGTTAGCATCACGCCACCTGCCTGGTACCCACTCAAGGCTGGGTTGACCTGGGAGCCAAGGTCATTTTAAAAAAAAAGTCTGGCCCCCCTGTCAGGATCAGAACCAATTACCTTCCATTCCGCAGGTGAGCAGCTAGCCGCTAGATCATAGCGGCTCCCACTTAAGGGATACATCCTTGTGTTTTAAAAAAAAAACATTAATATGTCTATGAAACCTGTAGTTGGATGAAAGTAATACTTTAATTTCATCAGTGCAGAGTTTGAATTCACATGTGTGCCTCGGTAAATTCTAAAGTGACAACTGTCCTGATATTGCCATTAGTTGACTTATGTCTGGTAATCTGGTATTTTTAATTTCAGCTTCATAGCAAACAGGTCACCCCATCTTTGCTCCACTCCTGTGTCAACGAAAAACACACAGAATGTCTTTTAGACATTGTTTTTAGACACAGAATGACTTATATGTTGTTGTTCATCTATCATGAGTGATAAAGACCACCTTTCATCCAAAGTAGTAATGATCAAAGATTATGATTAAGAAGGTGGCTGATTAGTCCAATATGAGCCTGGAAAGTTCTTGAGCAGTGCGGACAACAGGTGGAAGCCGTAGTAAGTGTGGGATTATCAAAACGATTCTTTCTAGTCTGCCTTTATTTCTCTGCCTGTGAAACCTCCGCTGCCTGGATGGTTGATGCTCCATGTCTGAGGGATGTACGTCATCCAGAACGGTCCTGTGCAGCAGCTTCATATATGCGCCAACACTCCTGCATACATATAGATAGATGAGTGCTCATACATCCACACACATGCACAATCACCTGTATACACACATGTGTTCATAAATATACAAACACACACTCATACATACACATACTCACACTTATGCATACACATATACTCACGTTAAACACATACACATTCATATTTCCACATACACAACACCAACATACACAGATACATGCATGCATATAGACACATTCATACCTAGACACCCAAGCATACCCACCCACGCATACATACACTCACATTCAAGAATAAATGAATCAAGAATTGGCATCACTGCACATGATATTTCTCTCACACATGCTCCGTCCCCTTCTTCAGTAGCCAGCAAAGAGTTGACTTGCCAACATTACCAGCTGCAACCTGATTAAAAGTCTGCCTGTTTCCCCTTTAATGTTGAATATTTTCCAGAACCTCCATATACCCTGTCGAATTTGTCTTTCAGTGTATGGATTCTCTATCCCTTATCTGTTTTTTTTTTTGCACTGTCCATTTGATCCCACTGAGCCTTTGCCACATCCACTTTATCATATAGTAGCTCACCACCCATTGGAGTGGCAGCAGCTAATCTCTCAGCGTACTTGTTATCTCGCACACCTGAATATCTTGGACAGAAAATCCATGATGTGCTCTTGATCGGGGTCTTATCAATTGATGCCAGCTGCTCTGATTGCAGCACATCAGTTTTAATTTTCTGAAGCATGCTTTGTGAGTCTGTTACAATTAAAATTACATAATGTCCGGCTGTGCTGCTCTCAAGCAATTGGTAAGCTGTTGTTACTGCACATTCATACATATCCAGATATACACAAACACCAATATGTACAAACTCTCTTGAATAACAGAGGAAGAGAAAGAGGGAGAGAGACAAACAGATAGAAACACAGAGAGAGAGAAAGAGAGAGACAGAGAGAGAGAGAGAAAGGGAGAGAAAGAGAGCTCTTAAGAGCCATAAGAAGCCAATTCTGATGCATGGAAGTGACTCACGGGCAGTCATAAGATTAGTGAAAAATTTTTGGAAACTGCACAGATGTGGTTTTGTATAAAAATTAAGAGAACACCATAAGCAGATTTTAAAAAGTCTAATGAGGATGTTTTCCAACAAGCTTTAATGTTAAGTTAGGAAAAAACATAATATGAAAGATACTAACCCTGCGCTAGATAATGGTGTAGAGTGTCTTGGGCCTAAGGGTTTTGATGCACTCAAATGTGAACAACCTTCACCAAGTGATTCTGAGCAACCATCCGAATTACTCTGACCGTATTCACTCAGTAGATTGAGGATGCTTTGCATTGGGAGATCTGTGGTATGGATAATGTAATAGTGATGTAATTAAATGAATAATATTTACACACTTTACTATATTATACCCTGCACCACTATAATATATTGTGCTGTTTAAATAATACTGTACTTACTTTATTGCACTATCCTACACTGTATCTTGCTATTCTACACGGTAAAGTGCAAACAAACCATTTGGCTGTGGCCCTCATAATATTTGGGGGAAGGGCTTAAGAGGCATGTTTAAATGTGCTTGTTTAAGTGTTAAATAATTATTATTATGTGCTGAATGGTAAAACAAATATTATAATATATTAAAACAACATGTTCTAAACAAATAATAAATAGAGAAATAGAGAGCATAGTACAAGGTGCCTGATCCTGGGGGAGGGGGGCGGGGCTATCAATGGCTCAGGCGGTCTTGTACTATGCTAAATATATCAATTCTAATGCAGACAATCATCATACTCACCAGTTTCCCCACTTAAAGTACTTCTTCTGAAGACAGTAGGCAGCTTGTGAGGCACTCCTGTCTCTTGCCGCCTCTTAGATGCCCAGCAGCTTGGGTGCTGACAGGGTAACTGACACGATGTTTCATCTGACGCAGTGGCACCAGGATAATAATGAAATCGAGCCAACATTTCCAAACCAAGCTGCCGGCTGAAGGTCACAGCAAAATTCACAAAAAGTCTCAGTGTATTAGAGAACGTTTAGTGAACTCTTTTAATCCCAAGGCACAAGTGAAATGCATTCCAAATTAAATTCACTGCTCACAGTGTCGTACCTTGAACTCAGTTCAGCAGCTGCACAATGAACTATATCCTTTCAGTTTACACATGGAGGAAAATGCATAAGCCAACAACTCAAGTCAGAGGCCATGACTAATGACAGCTTATCCTCCGTATTGGCTGGACATTTCTCGATGTTTGTCCATCCCTTAACATTTTGAGTCCCAGGGGGTTTAGCATCAGAGACCCAAAGGGTAGTTTAAAAAAAAAGACCTAAAATCAGCGCACCATGTGTTCATTGGGCTTCTAGGTAGAAACCTATAAACGTATGATGCATTCCTTGGGACTCAAAGAGTTAATGTTATCCTGCCATTTCATTTGCTATTTATGATTTACTGTTAAATCTTAACAAATAAGAGTCACAGATAAATCATTACGGTCTGAGGAGAATGGCGCTGTGAGGTGTTACCAGGGGATATGGCTGATGCTCAACACTCAAGGGAAGGATGAGACAGATATACAATCAGACGGTTACTAGTACCATCGAAAGTTTAACTTTTCGCTTGCTGTTGAAGATGAGGACTGAGCACTTATGGGAGTGTCCCGAGTGTTGTGATATCGATCCTTAACTCAGTATTCAACATCTAGATGTAAGCTGTTTTAAGTGATCCCAGATCTGAGTGAGCCTGTCTAATTTAATTATTTTAATCTACAAGATTTTAAATTATGTTTCTAAATATTCAATCAGTTAGGTGTCTTGCCCCCCCCAAAAAAAAAAAAAAAAAAAAAAAAAAACTGTCTGCGGTGGTTCTCCCCCCCCCCCCCCCCCCCTCTCTCCTCTCTCTGTCTGTCTGTCTGTCTGTCTGTCTAATCTATCTAATCTAATCTAATCTAATCTAATCATCTCTCTCTACTCTCTATCTATCTATCTACTGTCTGTCTGTATGTCTATCTGTCTATCTATCTATCTATCTGTCTCTCTCTCTCTCTCTCTCTCTCTCTCTCTCTCTCTCTCTCTCTCTCTCTCTCTCTCTTTCTCTTTAGTAGTTCAGCTGTTCACTAAGACTGATGTTTGTCCATCTCTCAATGTCATCCTGCCAGTTATATTTCTGTATACCTATTTTCACCCGTCTTCAGCTTCACTATTGAAAACAAAATGTTAAATCTTTTTTTTTAATGTTTAAATGCGCAACCTAAATCCTATGAAATGACAATCCGTCGAAAATAAACGGTCGCCATTTGTAAACAAGGAACTTATCCTAGCAACATTCATTCAGAAGAAACTGTAGACTGATTAACTAAATAACCCTTTAAACATAAATTGAATAATTATATAAATGTAAGGGATTAAAACTGAGTAAATTATAAATTAATAAGTTGGTGAAATTGTCGCTGATGTGCATTGAGAGCGGAGTACGAGGAAGTGGTGTGTGGAGATGCCCCTAGCCGACGTCAAACTTATTGATCCACTTTTGGGGCCACAGCACAACAATACGATCTTTGTAAATATTCCAGCCAATTATCCGACCAGGGATTCACACGCATTTCTAATATGGATCTTAATTCTTTAAATGCCAAGTTTAAGAAGGTGGCCGGGGGAGCATCCACTGTGTTTAATAGGGCAGTTCAGGTATGTGAAGAAAACGTTGTCTTTGTAGTGAAGTGTAACTCAAACTGCTAGCAAAATTGTACAACAATTGATAACGATTGTTCGTTAATGTTCAGACAGTTACATACAACTGGACACAAACAAACACATTATAGGGTATATTACGTCGCGATATTTAAATATAAATGATATCTTCGTTTTTTAACTTAACGTAAGGATGGATCTCTGAATTATCATAATGTCAAATGTCATCAAGTTTAATCTTTGAAGTTTGATTGATGATTCACTACACTAACACTACAATTACAATACTGTATTGAATACAACAAAAGAATTCTATTTTTGTTAAAATTGTGAGTCATTTAATTATTATGATAGGTTTATTGTTTGAATTTGAGGCTTAATTTAGTGTAGTAAACTCTAAACTGTATCAGTTCAATTATTATATTACTATAATACAACACTGATACTGATACGTTGCATTGATACACTTTCTTACACTTACAGTGTGAGATAAACATTAACTAATGATTGGATAGACATCATTTGGCAATGTTTGTTTAAAGTTTAATAAACTTTAATTTATCTGTTCATAAAAAGAGATAGATGGTACACTAATACACTATTAAATTACAAAAGACAGCGAAGTTCAAACTAGAGACAGCATTGCGGATATAGATAATTTATTTCAAGTAAATGAAAGAAGAATAAACACTATTAAACTACTATTATATTGTTATCAGCTAATGATAGACTCCATTCATTTGCTTACATGAATGGATTTCAATGTAAAATGTAAAATTGACGTACATGCTTCATTGAGGTACTATTGGATAGGATTTTGAAAATAGCCTATCTAGTTGTGGTGGTTGCATAATTAAAACCATAATATATAAAACAGAAATAAAGTATCTAGTAAAATAACTGCATCCACTCGACATTGCTGCATAAGTAAAACCCTAATATCTAAAACTTTCGATTAAATTATCTAAAAAGGGACTTCCTTCCACTTAGCGTTTTCCATCTAAATACAGTCTTCCTCTTGCACTTTTTCATTCGGATGTTCATGGCCTTTGCAATTATTATGTATCAGCATCTACAGAAGGAGTGTTTGGCTTCCTTATCCACAGTATTTCCTTTCTTTTGCATCTGTCTGTTCTACAATCCAGGGTGGCTAATTATTGCCATAACTAGCGTTCGACTCTTAGACCACAACACTGCTGAGTCAATATATTAGCTACTTGGCTGCTTTGTCTGCTAGTGAGTTTATTAAAAAGGCAGTCTCAGGGCAGAGGTTGCACTTTGGGTGGGAAGAATAAACTTCAACTTATTTTTTAATATAAATATTCTTCCTCTCTAGTCCTGTTCTGTTTTTCAGTGTCAGGTTTTCAATGAGGTATCAGGAGCAAGCCTTTATGTGCTGGTATTAAAAATCTCTGATATTTCATCTATCCATTGCTTCTGTGGTCAACCTTTAGTTCTGCTTCCCTTATTTCTTAGTGACGGGGATTTCTGTGGTGCGCTCTCTGGTGGTAGTTGCAATATTCCTTTGCTTGTGTCTTTGGCTGTTGTCTAAAGATGTGCTCTACTTGATGTTATAATCAACACTGCACCGATGTTATGAGCACAGGAAACATCTGCATGTTTAAAAATGTTTATTAACAATAATACACTCACGAATATGTCCAGTCCTTGTCCCTACTCCTTTACCAAGCCCAACATTCAATTGCACCCATATTCAGACGTCAACACTCTGAGCATTCTCATACAAGCATGTGATGGTGGTTTTCCATCTTTCACTCCACATCACTGGATAGGTGACTTCAGCCGTTTCTCTCATGGTCTCTCGCCGCTAACTCTAAGTAGTAGCTGTTGATTAACTGCCTAGCTGACTCGTTGCTAAAGATGATGTCGTCTTGAAGTATTCTCTGTCGTCATCAGGTATTCTTCACATTCACACAGAATCACAAACACGTCCTCTTACTCTAACTGGCAAACACATACTGTCTAATCAGAACGTGGTCTGAACTTATAACCAAGTGTTGGGTTCCATGTGGCGACACATGGTCGTTCTCTTTGGGTTCCACGTGGTAACACTTAGTCATTCTACCCCTTGAGAACCTTGTTTTCTCAGAGTGTCTGGCTTCTCTCGGTTTTATGGTGACCCTTGAGTATTCCCCCAATCTTCTCAATCGGAGAATCCTCGTGTGAAAATATCCCACATTATAGTAGTTTTGAAGCATGTCCAAACCATTTGATCTGTTGTCGTTTTAGACAGTATAATATAAACATTTTGAGTGGGAAAGCCAGTTCTCATCCTTATTGTTTGGTACCCATTGGGATGAGACTGATTCTATTCAAGAGCCACCCTTCTGGTTTCATCACCATCCTCGTCCTGTAACACCTGCAAGCATTGGGTTACAAGTTGCTATTGACTCTCTAATCAGCTTCCTCACCTTTCAAAGATCAGATACAGTGAACTTCATGATTGCATGCCTGAGGCCTGTACAGTCAGTCAGTTTCTGTATCCAGGTCTTTCTTGGGCGGCCTCTTCTCCTCTACTGAGGCATATAGTTTTGCTTTTGGGAGACCATAAGATCTGTGTCCGTACATTCTAGTTAGGGATCAGTAATTTTGCTTCTTCTGAAACTAATCGGACCATTGTTTTAATAGGCAGTGCGCCAACCCTTGTCCATCTGAATCTTCTGAGGAGTTTATTACTTCTCCATAGTTATTGTTCGGTTAATAATATTAACTCAGGGAGCTCACTGTGTGTTTCCAGTTCCTCCTTACGTGATACGCTGTCTTATCCAGTTGTTACAAAACTCCACAAAATTCCATTTTGTTTTTTAAACTTATTCTCCATATGGGTTACAGAGCACCAGATTTGAAAAGGATGGGGGCGGAGGGGGTAGACCCGCTGCCTCATAACAAGGATGATTTTAAAATGTAATTAAGTAGGGGTTTGCTGAGATAAGATGTGTTGAGCCAAAGGGGATAGATATTGCAGCCTAGCTGTAAACCACAACACAGCATGCTAACCACTCTTTTAAGGGTGAGTGCTGAAGAATAACAATTTACACTTATTCTGCTCAGTATTGTTGATACAATGGTACCTCGACATACGAAACCCAGTTTCCCGTTACATCTTATGGAAAATCAATTAATCCTTTCTCAGATTTAAAAAAAAAAAAGCGATGTCAAAAGGATGGCAAGTTCTGCGATTGATCTTTTTAGATATCTTGAGCTTTTAAATGGATAAAAAAGTTTGAGATACACTATCTTCTTTCAGTTGAATGTCATTTATCCAGATGATCAGTAAACGTCCCACAATTTCCATAACTTTTTTCTTAAAGATGGTACGATAGGTGCTCCTTTGGCCACATCCAGTTCCTTTTTAAACTGCTTTCTTGAGGATTGTAGTTATGATTGTTATACTGCTTGCACCAATCAGTTTGCCTGACTCCTTTCTCCTATTTTTTTCATACTCTTTTCTTAGTTTCTGCTGTGGTTTTCTTATTTTTCTTTCTTAATTTTCTTTGTCTGCCCCAACCACCCATGTTGAAAATGATACCTGATATCTAAATACAAGTTTGAATTGTTTCTCCGCAACTTCTCCAAGCAAGCGTATGACTGGAATGGGAAGTTTCAAAATGGCTGCTTTTGACTTGGGTCACTACTTGGTGTGCCTGACCCAGTCACCATATTTGATCTTCATTCGCTTAAAATATTTTTATAGGTTTTTACCCCTTTGTGTATCAATATACAGATAACAGAAGACTGCTCCATTGTGGTGCATGTCAGAATTGAGGCAGCCATTCTCAAACTGTCATTATGATGTCACCATGCTCATCTTCACTGTGATGTCACATTCTTAACACTCTTGGCATCCTTAACAACAATATTGACAGATTATAAGACAGAGGCATGGTTTTTTGGTTTTTCTGTGACACTTTTAAGGTTTTCATTTGAGGTATCCTCTTCCAGTTCACAGAGGAGAAGCTGGGCACGGCTGAGAAAACTGAGTTAGATGCTCACTTTGAGAACTTGATGCAGCGGTCAGATAAGACCAGACTGTGGACAGAGACACTGGTCAAGCATACAGACACTTTACTGCAGCCCAATCCTAGTAAGTTTGCATCTGTGGTTGTTCTGTAGTATTTGTGTGGGCAGTAGCAAGGTCAGTGGTACCCAGTACAGAAAGTATTCCCCCCCCCCCCCATTTTATTTTAACACATTTTTTTTCATTTTGTAAAATCTTCGCCCATACGCACACACCCACACATACACTCTTGCCCTAGGTCAGGTAGTATCGGGTAGTAAAAATATCCCCCCCCCCTCTGTGTTGTTTTGTATTTTAACACATTTTTGCCATTTTGGGCAAATAGCCTCCCCCCCCCCCCCTACATACACACACACATGCATGTACACACACACACACGTACACCCTCGCTCTCTCTCTCTCTCTCTCTCTCTCTCTCTCTCTATTTTAAAAACACATATTTTTGCCATTTTGTCACTGCCTCAGTGAAAACACACATACCCCCTCCGCACTCCTCTTCCTGCGCCACTGTGTCCCCTCCTCCGCACTTCTCTTCCTGCACCACTGTGTCCCCTCCTCTGCACTTCTCTTCCTGCACCACTGTGTCCCCTCCTCCGCACTCCTCTTCCTGCGCCACTGTGTCTGGGTACCATCTATAGAGGAGCCTCAGGAACACAGTCAGCAAACTTGCTTGTTGATTCAGAAGCCATAGGTTCAGATCTGCACTGAGAAGGATTTTTAAGAATTGACTAGGTTAAAACGTTGCTGTCTTCACGGCAGGCCTGAAAGTCTCTCTCTCCAGCCAATTCTCCAGCCAGCGTATCTTCAGTGTCTTTGTAGCCACTTTCGGGAGTTTGGCCTCTGCCTCATTTCCCTGAAAATGCTCCTTCCCCCTTTGTCTTTCTCTCCAAGCCACTGTGACACTTGACAAACCTTAGCTTCTGGGTCAGGATGCTGTTTCTTCCAGATGTACCTAGTCTTAAAATGGATATCAGGAAATGTTGTTGGTATTGAGTGTGGCCAGCATGAATTGATCACGTCATCCATCGAGTCCTGATTAGTCTACAAAATTATGGGCTAGCTTCCTATGCCCTGTAGTCCTCAAGGTCTGGAAAGTGATCCTTTACCTTTTTGTTTCCAGTATAAATTGGTACCTCAGTATATGTCCACTGTGGTATACCTCCAACTTGGTATACGAGCTGTTTAGTATGTGTCCAAGGATCTGGAATGTATTAGGGATGTATACAAAAGTACCACTTTATATTTTGTTGGATTGTGGGGTAGGAGTATTTTCTATGAAAGGGGGCGCCTCCTTCCAACACACATTGGCGACCGAGTCACCTAATGTCTCACCCATAGACGACTTCATCGCAGGTCGGGACAGTATTTGGGTCTGTCTTCTTTGATCACATCAACACTGCAGGAATCCATTTCAGGGCTCTTGGTGACGTGCAGTGCTAGGCTTTTTTATATGGTGCACATCACCTAGTCACAATTATAACCTAAAGCTCCCCCTTTAGGAATGCTGGTTGAACGCGGCTATCCCCCCCCCCCCCCCCCCAAAAGCACATACCTACCTACCTCCTTCCTACCTACCTCCTTCCTATCTAGCAAACAGGACACCCCTTGGGCAAGCTGGAGTACCTGAATGAAAAGATTTGACTTTCTACAATTTTCTTGATGGTGCTAAATCTTCTTTGTTTGCCCTTGAATGGGGATTTGGCATGTTGTGGATTGCAGCTGTGATATCTGCGCCGACACATCCGCTTTGAACAAATCCTAATTTGGCTTCTTTTGCATCATGCACGCTAGAGGTGCAGTGGGTCTGTCCCCCCCCCCAGAATGGGACATTCGAACCAACACTGGGAGATAATTTAATTGATAGACTTCTTTCTGAGGTTTGAACAACGGATCAACATCATGGCACACGGGTAGTAACCCATAAGTGCTCCGTTCTTCTTCTAACTCAAGTCTGAGTCCGAAGAAGCTCAGCACAGTGCACAGGCTCTGTAGCACCGGCAAAAATCCTGAAATACTTTGAGTAGGTTTTTAACTCAAAATTTTGCCCGGCCAGCGCCGATAGGCTACTCTTTTTGATTTCCAACTGCCAAGGGATTTTTTTTTACGTGCGCAACAATGCACATGGGCGTCTGATCTCACTACCCAAAGACCAGGGGGAATTACTAGAAGTCCAAGTCCACGTGAAAAAATCTCAACCCTTACTGGGGATTGAACCCAGAACCTTTAGCACTCGAGACAGACACCATGCCTCGAGACCACATAGCCCCCCACCCCCTCACCTCTTTCTAAGTGACATATAACAAGAATTTGTAAATATTGTTTCACAGATCAACGCATGGAAGACCTGCTGTATACAAAATTAGACAAGAAGAAGAAGGATAGAATCACTCAGTATGAGATTCTAGGAAATGCCATGGTTGATGCTGGTAATGACTTTGGACCAGGAACTGCGTATGGTGAGTGCTTTTATACTGCTGCATGTCTGTAAGCTGAATTAGTGTAGCATGTCAACCTCTTCCATCCTCTCACTCATGCTTCTTTCTTTCTTTCTTTCTTTCTTTCTTTCTTTCTTTCTTTCTTTCTTTCTTTCTTTCTTTCTTTCTTTCTTTCTTTCTTTCTTTCTTTCTTTCTTTCTTTCTTTCTTTCTTTCTTTCTTTCTTTCTTTCTTTCTTTCTTTCTTTCTTTCTTTCTTTTTCTTTCTTTCTTTCTTTCTTTCTTTCTTTCTTTCTTTCTTTCTTTCTTTCTTTCTTTCTTTCTTTCTTTCTTTCTTTCTTTCTTTCTTTCTTTCTTTCTTTCTTTCTTTCTTTCTTTCTTTCTTTCTTTCTTTTTCTTTCTTTCTTTCTTTCTTTCTTTCTTTCTTTCTTTCTTTCTTTCTTTCTTTCTTTCTTTCTTTCTTTCTTTCTTTCTTTCTTTCTTTCTTTCTTTCTTTCTTTCTTTCTTTTATCCTTTCTTCCTTCCTTTCCTTCAGTCTTTCTTTTTTCTTCTATCTTGTTGTTACTGTTGTTGTTGTCATTATAATTATTCTGCACATATGATCTGACTGCTACTGGTATCGTCAAAAATTGGAACTCTTCACTGGCTGCTGAAAATGAAGACTGAGCACGCATGGGAATGTCCAGAGTGCCGTGATGTCAGTTTTTGACAAAACTCAGCAATAATTATTTTTCTTTGTCCTCTTTTTTTAATTCTTATGTCATTTTCCAGTGGAGCATAGGCTGTCATCTAACTGATGGCATACGTGTTTGTTTTAGGTAACGCACTTGTCAAGTGTGGCCAGGCACAGATACAAATAGGAAACGCAGAGAGAGATTTCATCACCACCACAGCCAATAATTTTCTTCAACCTCTGACCAACTTCCTAGAGGGTGACATGAAAACTATTTTGGTAAGCTTGTTGCCGCAGAGAATTTGCACATATTAAGCAAAGTCTTGTTATTCTTCTTTTTGTTGTTTGTTGTTGTTGTTGTTCTTCTTCTTCTTCTTCTTCTTCATCTTCTTCTCTTCTTCTGCTGCTTCTCCTTCTTCTCCTCCTCCTTCTTCTCCTCCTTCTTCTTTCCCCCTCCTCCTTCTACTTCTTCTTCTCTTTCGTAGTCTTCTATGTTCATCCTTACAATTGCAGTTGGCACACCTTGTGTGGAATCCAAGGCCCCATTTTGATCGGTGTTAGGGACTTCTTACAGGGAGGTATGTAAACTTTTTCTTGGTAAGGTTGTTGCCCTAGAGAACCTGCTTATATTAAATGAAGTTTTCTTCTGCTGTGTTTATCCTAAATGGCGTTTTTCTTAAATGTTTGTTTAAAATGAGCAGCTGTCCAAGCGGCTAGAAAGCTGTGGTGTTTTTTCAAGACGCCTATGTTTATGTCACCTATTTGGTGATCTCTTCTTCGCTGCTTCACCGGCTGTACACTCCAGTGAAAAGTTCTGGTTGTTCGTCCACCTCCAGAATTTAGTCGTCTTTCAGAAACTAGGTGTTGCGTGCACATCCATTTTAAAAATGTGGCTTTTTTATATGCAGACTGTTGGTTTCTTGCCTCTCAGGCAAATTCACAATGAATTTGAAGGAAGCTCCTAATTAATCAACTCTTACAAGATGCTTTTTGGGAAGGCAGTGGGTCTGTTCTTGTTTTCTTCACAATGGGGCCATGGAATGCACATGAGGGCAAACAGGTGATGAAAACTTTTCTCTGTCTTCAGTTGCTCCATAGTTGCTCCGCTGCTGTGTCAACGGAAGACACAGAATGTACATCACTGTCCCTTGTGGAAAATTTTCCACAGACTGAGGTCTCAGCAAAACCACTAGGATACACATGCATTTAATGCATAAGACAGCCATCAAAAGTGCTAACACAAACAATCCAACATTAGAGGCGCAGTTCATCATCAACGGAAGCAGCAGTTACAGGCAGATCAGTAGTTGTACATGCGATTAATTTTAATCACATACATCACCGATTCTGCGGCAACAGACCACGCACAATGTTCTGAATCTACAGTTCACAACACAATGTTGCTTAGTCGAAAAACATTCCAAATAAAATCTGCAGCTCACAGTGTCGTGCCATGAACTCAAATCAGTAGCTGGGCCAGAAAACCTTTCAGTCTATTCAGTCTATAATTAAATGAAAATGCAACTCCACTGTCTGTCAGAAGCAAAAATTTGCCACAACTAAACACATTGAACCTGCCTATCCTCCATTTGGACCAGAAGTACAGTTCATGGTGTTGCCGTAGCCATGACACCCTAAAATTCTCAGGTTCAGGGAGCCCCTCCCTGCCTTTTGTCTATATACGCTGACAAATAAAGTAAACTGTCTTTACTGGCTGTATTCACCCTTTGAGAGGGTTTTACAATTTGTCTCTCAGCTAATCAGATGTTTTCACACTTAAGAGACAATGCCTCATGACGCCATACCATATAAGCATACACAAAAAGAGAAGGACCTAGAGTGCGAGTTATACCAAGAACAAGACGGAAAGATAACATTAGAGAAACTCTATAACAGCGTGATGTGTCTATGGTCGAGGCAGCCAGAAAAGCAAGAAACAACCTTATATCTTCCCGACACCTGAAGCGGTAAAACAGGAAGTGAAGAAGAAGAATAAGAATTTTCCCTTTATATTCCACCTTTGGGACTGCAGCCTGACAGATTGACACCTGGTGACTCGAAGAGCCACCTCTTGGATGTAAATCCAACAGTGGCAAATCCCATACACACTGGCCATTCGTACATAAAGGTTATTCTTGGACACCCTAGGGTTTACAAAGTCATCTGCGGTTTTGGGTGGGTGAGAGACTGTATGGGTGAGAGACTGTGTGGGTTAGAGACTGTGTGGGGGAGAGACTGTGTGGGTGAGAGACTGTGCGGGTGAGAGACTGTGTGGGTGAGAGTCTGTGGGTGAGAGACTGTGTGGGTGAGAGACTGTGTGGGTAAGGGTTAATAGTAATAGAATACATTTGCTGAAATATTTCAGAAAGAGAAGAAGATTCTAGAAACTAAGCGCCTGGATCTTGATGCCTGCAAAAGCCGACTGAGAAAGGCCAAATCTGCAGGCTCTCAAAGCCAGGTTTGTGTGTACTTGTAACTTGTTTGATTGTGGCTATTTATTGAATTTTTTTGTTTGTTATTGATTCCTGATTTGATAACGGTGGTATCAGTTGTTATCCATGCACATTTTGTGTGCTGTTTAGAAAAGATAGGTTCAGTGTATCATCATAACATTGAATTAGTAGGTTGTAAAGTCATACATCAAAGTTAGTCTGTGAAATGTTGGGTTGTAAAGTCAGAGTTAGTCTGTGAAATGTTGGGTTGTAAAGTTAGAGTTAGTCTGTGAAATGTTGGGTTGTAAAGTTAGACATCAAAGTTAGTCTGTGAAAAGTTGGGTTGTAAAGTCAGAGTTAGTCTGTGAAATGTTGGATTGTATCAGACATCAAAGTTGGTCTGTGAAATGTTGGGTTGTAAAGTCAAAGTTAGTCTATGAAATGTTGGGTTGTAAAGTCAGAGTTAGTCTGTCAAATGGGTTGAAAAGTCAGAGTTAGTCTGTGAAATGTTGGGTTGTAAATTCAGACATCAAAGTTAGTCAGTGAAATGGTGGAATGTAAAATCGGGCATCACAGTAAGTCTGTGAAATGTTGAAGTGTAAAGTCAGACATCAGAGTTAGTCTGTGAGATTTTGGTTTGTAAAGTATAAGGTAAACCATACTCATTCCAAGTAAGGTCAAAGGGTCATAAGTATTCCCTGTTCAGTTATGGCCATAATTATTCATTATTCTATGTAAGGTCATGGTCATCAATTATTCATTATTCTGGGTAAGGTAAGAGGCGATAATTGTTAATTCCAGGTAAGGTCAAACGTTCCGCATCATATGTTATTTCACATCATATGTTATTCTGGTTATTTTTCATAATTTAGACATAGCAGCACACTTTGGCTTGCTTACTTCATTACACAAGTGAAGATATGCACAAACACTAACACACACAAATGTACTGTTTGGTTGAAGCTCAGAAATATATTTTCTTCTTTTGGCTGTCTGTTGCGCTGCTAATTTTAATAATTCTGCAGGTAATGTTTGTGTATGTTGGCTTATTTATATCCACAGTTTTATCCAATTTTTTTTTCCGAAGCAAAAACAAAGGCAGCTCTTTATATTTTGTGATTTTCGTAATTTTGTGTGTGTGTGCACCTGCGAGTAGTCTAACACATTCCTTTTCTTCTCACTCTCAATCTGCCACACTAGGCTGCAGAGGTACTGTATTATATATATATTTTTAATCAGTCTTTCATCTAACTAAGTAGAGAGGAAAGGTACCATACTCCATTTTGTTTTCAATCTTTCTTTAACCATACAAAGAGGTATCGTGTTCTGTTTTTTTTTTTTTCATCCTTTATCTAGCAATATCAGAGAAAAAAGTGTCATTTATTATTTTAATTATTTTTTTTAATTTAATTTTTTTTTTCAATTGACCATACAAAGAGGTATCCTGTTCTGTGGGGTTCCCCCCAGCCATTGCTTTACTTTACTAGGTACAACTCACGAAGTTGGGCCCAGGAAGAGAGTGACTTCACTTGCCATTCATTCCTAGTTGTGTCACAGGGCCTGTCCTATGTTGGAAGGAATTTTATGCGTTGTTGTCACCGGCCGGCAATATTGTGTTGTCTCTATGGTGTAAGCGCTTTTAATGACCCAAAATGACCCCACCCCCATGCCACAGCCTCAGCCTACGACCCACGAGAGAGTGCAGCCTACCTCCCACAACTGCATGCAGCCTATGATAACAACGCGTAAAATACTTTGTATTGCTGGATGCTCACTAAGCGTGAAACCCCCGCAACATAAAACCGGCACTACGACACGACCAGGGATGAATGGCAAGGGAAGTCACTCTCTTCCTGGGCCCGACTTCATGAGTTGTTCCTTTTACTACTCAGACGTAGCTAGCCTGTGGAAGTACTCCAGTACACTGATTGTCGGTTGCTGTGATTCATCATCATCTCAGTTTCCACTTCTACCGTTAAGTGCTGTGGGGAGGAACAGTTCGTGATACATTGCTTGATGAGCAGCAGTGGCTGTTGTCCTTGAGTGTCGATGTAGAAGCTCTTTAATGTCATCAATCCATGTTCTCCTTGGGTGGCCTCTGGTTTTCCCTTCATATCTGTTCATGTGTAGCGCCTGCGTGGGTAGTTGTTGTGGCTGAGTTATTACTAAATGACCAAACCATTTTGATCTTCTGTTTCTCAGTGTATTTACTCCATGGTGTTGTTCCTACAGTCTGTCTGATAATATCATTTCTAACTTTGTCTCGGATGATTAAGTTGGCGGCTTTTCTCAGGCATTTCATTTCACAGGCATTTCATTTCACAGGTGTTATTTTTAAATTGCTATAATTTACCAGTGTAAATCACTACCTCAGATCAAGAAATACCTGGATATAGAATTTAGCTAAATGGACAGGCCTCGGACATGCAAACATCAGGTCCATTGTATCTGACCAACAAAGGCGGAGGGAACTGATCAGACAGTCACAACAATTAGTGACCCAGCGGTGTTTTAGGACTTTGATTAAATAAATACCTACTATATACGAAATTAGGAAAATCATCAAACAAGAAGACATCAACAAACTAAGCACATGATGAATCAAATCCAGTGATGCCAGCAATGAGAGCATACAACATAAAAATGGAACCACCAGGAGGCAGAGGCAGATTTAGAAGAAGAATTTAGGGCAGGATTATTCAGCTAAGTTTATTTAGGGGTCAAATTATTGAAAATGGGGATCTTCATTGTCCAGATGCCGGTGCTCTAGCATAGAAAGATAATTAATACAGTACAACTGGCAACGATTCACAGGCCAGTTGCTAAACATCTGCTAATTAACATATTCGGCCACTAGTTAAACAGCCCTGATTTAAGGAATCACGGATGGCCTAAGATTTTACATCACAGCATACCAAGCAGCTGATCAAGCTGCCAGTCATCTGTTAAGAGCAGATTTTAACTAAAGAAGAATCACCACCTAAACAGAATTTCAAACTCCATAAATCAAGAGGTGGTGAAAAGACACTTTGGCTAGACAGAACACACAGTGAGAAAACCTGGTAATATGTCTGGTCTGTGCAGTGGAACACAGGGTCACAGAGATATTGTAATGTAAAAACACAGAGAATTAGAGGCTCAACTAAATCATAAGGATGGACATTATAAATGATACAGAAGATGGCACAGGGTGTGGTAGGCATTGTTTGAGTGCCCGTGTTTCAATGAGAGTTATAGGTAGCAACATAAGAAACAATACAACCACATTGAAAAGCTAGTTAATATAAAGTTAACTGTTGCATAACAAATTAATTCAATTTTTATTTTTGTTTTTTGTTTTAGCAAAATTTTTACAAAAACTAATATTTTCATTATGATACTTAATGTAAAATTATATAAGTATATTCCTTTTCATTTCATTATGGTTCTGGCATTTTGAATATTCCTTCAGTTAACATTTTACATTGTAGTCTTCGGAGCTAGGCCCAAAGGTTTCTCTTTATTTTACATCCAAGCTGCCTTGTTGTTAATAAGGTAAAGGTTGCAGAAACACAAATAGATCCCCCCATGTGGGTTCCGGGGCCCTGTTATAGGGAAAACAAGAATAGACCCACTGCCTCCCCAACAGCATGTCGTAAGAGTCGACTAATTGGGAGCTTCCTTTGAAGTTGGAGTGCATCTGCCGGAGAGGCTAGGAACCAGCAGTCTGCATACAGATGACTCAAATCTGTAAAACGGATGCACACGCAACACTCAGGTTCTGGAACAGGACTGCAGTCCAGAAGTGGACGAGCAACCAGAACTTTCCGCCAGAGTTTACAGCTGGTGAACGCGAAGAAGAGAGAGGTCTGGAGAGAGTGGTATGGCAGAGAGTGGCCAGGACATCTGGCTGACACTGAACGCTCGGAGGAAAGGCAAGATGGACATATATATAATCAGCTAACTACTTGTATCATCGGAATTTGAATTCTGCACAAGTTCCTGAAGATTGAAATAGAGAGCTTATGGCAGTGTCCTTAATGCTGTGATGGTATTTCTTGATTTCGAGGGCTGACTTAATTTTACCAGGTCCTCCAAATTCAGAGTCATCTTCATGAGAGGCAACGAACCAATAGTCTTCATATAAATAAGCCAGATCTGTAAAACGGATGTGCATGTAAAACTCAAGTTCTGAAACAAGACTTAAGTCCAGAAATAGGATGAACAATCAGAACTGTCCGTGGGAGTTTGTAGCCAGTGAATGTGAAGAAGGTGAAAAAGAATGTTACCAGTCTTTTCCCCACAAGGTTTGGTCTCCCTCTGCAGAAGGGATAGCTGTCTGCCAAGAGCATCACACAATACATGAACTCCTTAGCTCCAGCAATGATTCATGTATACATTGTACTCTTGAACTAAACTAAATCACTCTGTAAAGCTGCTCCAGGCCCTGACGGCATCCGATACAATGACATGCTGATGATGTCGAATGCTGATTTGAAAAGCGTGGCAAAGGAATTCAATATCAGCATCCAGAGTGGCCAGATACAAGAGGAATGGCTCCATAGTTATTTGTTTCCACTACCAAAGCCTAATAAAGACCACTCAAAGATCTGCGGCTACAGAATCATCTCGATGCAGAATACTGTTGGCAAACTTTTGGAAAAAATTGTCGCACAAAGATTGACCACCTACTTAGAACTACATGATAAGTTCCCATCAACACTTGGAGGGTACAGATTGAAGAAAGAGACATGGTCCAATGCTGCTGTTTTCGCCTACGATGTGTACGAGGGATTTCAGATTAAAGAAGAGACATGTGCGGCAGTGTTGGACTTAGAAGATGCCTACAATAAAGTACCATATGATTATTTAATGCAATTACTGCTTAAACTAGAAGTCAATCCTATTCTGATCCGCTGGATTGCTGCGGTCCTGTTCCAGAGAAAGATTGCACTAAGATGTGGTAGCTGGTCCTCAGAACCGCAAACGATATGTCCAGGCTTGCCACAGGGATCACCGCTATCACCAGTCTTATTCAACGTTTATA